TTCTGCAGACCTCAGACGTCATGACACTAATGCCCACCTTCTCTCTCTCCCAGACATGCAAGAAATGCAACAACTGCAGTCCATGTACAGCCCCTGCAGCTTTGTACTATTCTAAGTAATAAAGTGGGAGAGGTAAGTGGGAGCCAGGTCATGACAGGACTTGTGAGTCACCTTAGGGAGCATGGGTATTTTCTAGAAGGCTGTAGAAGACCAAGGATTTTTAACAAGGCATGGCAAGACTTGATTTGTGCTGACACAAATGTACAAACTACATATGTTGAAGAGAAATAGTGAGTATACATTTAGTATATACTAGTAAGCTATCAAACACACTTCAGTTTGGCCCCATGAGAAACGTTTACTAGAGTGGTACAGCAGTCCCCCCCATCTGTGGTTTCACTTCCCATGGCCGGCCATTGTCCAAAAATATTAAAGGGAAAATTCCAGAAACAAAGAATTCAGAAGTTTTCAATTTTGCACTGTTTTGAGTGCTATGGTGAAATCTCGTACCCTCCTTCCCCGTCCCACCAGGGACATGAACCATCCCTTCGTCCAGCGTGTCTGCTACTTTCCCATTGGCCACTCAGTAGCCATTTTGTGATCAGATTGGCTGTTGTGGTATCACAATGCGTGTGTTCAATTCGCCCTTGTTTTATTTAGTGGTGGCCCCAAAGTGCAAGAGTAGTATGCTGGTACTTTGGATACACCGAAAAGAAGCCGGAAAGTGCTTCCTTTCAGTGAAAAGGTGAAAGTTCTCAACTTCATAAGGAAAGAAAAAAAAACTATGCTGTGATCACTAAGATCTATGGTAAGAACAAACCTATCTGTGGAATTGTGGAAAGGAAAAAGAAATTCATGCCCATTTTATTTTCACACTTCAAACTCAAAAGTTGGAGCTACAGTGCATGGTAAGTGCTTAGTTAAGAGGGAAGAGGCGTTCGGTTTGCTGGTGGAAAGAGAGGCGGGCAAGGGACACCATTTTGGCCAGTGGGATTTAAACAGCAGTCTAGGTTCCCAATGACATGGTGGAGCCACTGGAGAAAATGACTTTATTTGCTTAACCACTGTAATCAGGTTTGTGCTGCATGTCAGCAAACAGGCCCAGATGGGTCAGAGAGGCGTTTTGACATCTTGCTTAAGGACGTGGCCCTTCGAGTTAATGGACAACAGCTTTGAGTCCCAGCTCTGACACATGTTAGCTGGCTATGTGAAACCTTAGATGAGTCACTCCATCACGCTTCCCCTTTTCTGTAAAGAATAACAGTAGCATCTGGTGCATGTCTCAACATATAACACTATAGTGCCCAACTTGTCCCAGTTTGCCTGGGACTTTCCTAGGTTTAGCACTGGAAGCCCCTCATTCTCAGTTCCAGGCAAATTGGGGTGACTGGTCACCTTACTAAAACACACAACTACTGTACCTCTTTTTCAGATGGGAGACTGGGTCCTGAAAGCTAAGGATTGCACTGATGCTGCCCCTTAGTGGCTGAGTATAGTATAGCATCACTGCAAGGTTCAGATTTACGTCCTGTACGTTTTTTAACAAAAACAGCAATCACAGCTGGTAAGAAGCCGAGTAAGGATATTGTCCTAACCATTTACTTTTAAATTTAGAACTGCTGTGACCCCCTGTTTTTTCATAGTCATTGATTTTCACCGCCAAATGTCTTATCTTGTAGGGTTGTTGGGAGGATTGAATGAGTTATTGGTAAAGCCTTCTCTGATGTCACAAAAACTTGGGCTTGGACTTTTCAAAGTGACTTCACTCCCCTGAGCCTGTTTCCTCATTTGTATTAGGGTAACAGGACCTTCCTCAGAAGGTTGTTTGGACGCACACATGCTTATGGGGTCCCCGGAAGGAAGTATGACTTGATCTCAGCAGGGACATGAACCATCCCTTTGTCCAGTGCATCCACCCCTGCCTGTCAGTCCCCAGGCAGTTGGTGCCTTGACCACTCACAGTTCCGGAAGCCAGGCCTCAGGCCATCCCTCTGCCAGGGGCTCTGCAGCTCTGGGAGTGGCCGCACTAGCTCCTCAGGGATGTATCTTCTCCTCCTCGTCACGGCCACTGTCAGCTGGCAGGTGGCTTCGGAGACTAGGAAGGCCTGACTAGCCACTCTGATGACTTCAGCTGGTTCCTCTTACTCAGAAGCTATTATTACTCATCTGAGCTGGCCACTGGGCAGGCACTACACAGGGGTATGACCCCAACACTCAGGTCAGTGGCCTCGAGCACCGAGAGCTAACGATGCCCAGGCCAGAATGCTGTGCCAGCCACTGTCAAAGGCAGAACTGCAGTGGAAACCTTGTCTGTTTTCTGCTTTCTACTCGGTTGTGTTTAAGCACACTATGGTACACCCACCATGACCTGGGCTGCGAAATCTGTTTTGAAGGTTTTCTGAAGATTCAGAGAGACAGAAGGCTGCCTCCCTGCCTCTCCAGCATCACTCTTGAAGAGCTCTAGAAAAATCACTCAAATCTTCCAGAGGCCTAATTCTGCTCTAGCTGTGAAGGACCTTCAAAAAGGCTTAATGTCAACATTAGATTAAGTTCTTCCATCCTACAAGTGAAATTAGAGAAAGAATACACCACTTATATTAATACCTGTAGCTACATGGTAAAAGGGTTAATCACTCATTTAAGGTAGAAAATCATCACATACATTTGCTGGCCTCTGCTTTGTTCTGCGTAACTCTGATCAAAAGCCTTGTAGTCCTGTGTTAGTGTCTTGGTTTTAAGTTTCAGAGTCATACACTTTCAATGTTTTAAAAATGTTTCATGTAAATCATGAAGTATTATAGCAACTATAAAATGAGCTCTCCCTGCCTATATCTATCTGTCTCAATGTGGAAATATCCCAGACATATTAAGGGAAGCAAATTAATGAGAAACATGTCTAAGACATATTATTAAAGGAGATAATGGGATAAAATATTTTAAGGAAAGCAAATCATAGAAATTATATATACATACATACATACATATATATATATATAATGACTCCTATTTATCCTATTTAAAAATTGCACATACTTCTGCATCTGCATGGAGAATGTCTGCAAGAATATCTGTCAAAGCTCTCACAGTGCTGTCTGCAGAGGTGGGATTAAAGAACTCCACTTTAAAATTTTCTGTATTATTTGATTGCTTCCAGTGTGCACGTGTTCATTTTAGTCATCAGTACAAGAGAACTGAATGTGTTCATGCGCACACCCACACTTGCCATGAACTGAGCCATTAAGACCACAGCCCAGACGCTCAGCTCAGTGCTAAGTGCTTGTTTATGGACTAAAGTTGTCTCAGAACTTGATATTAAGGGAACTATTTTAATGCTGTGCATTTCCGATGCCTTGGGAGGCTGCGTGGAGAAGCCGGAGCTGGTATATTAAGAACAGTATGTAAATGTCTAATCACTATGTCGTACACCTGAAACTAGTATAACATGGTATGTCAACTGTAATTTAAAAATTAAAGTTTAAAAACCTGGGGGGAGACAAGGACATGCAGATTACAACTTGAGCCCTGGCTGGTGTGGCTCAGTGGACTGAACACGGGCTGTGAACCAAAGGGTGGCCAGTTTGATTCCCAGGCAGGTTGTAGGCCAGGTCCCCAGTGAGGACCACGGGAGAGGCAACCACACACTGATGCTTTTCCCTCTTTCTCCCTCCCTTCCCCTCTCTCTAAAAATGAATGAATGAATGAATGAACTGGAGTTACATGCTGTCAAATGTTCTTTAAAAAACCCCAAAAATATAGATTATGACTTGAATGAGGAAGCACAAGCTACCCACATGGAGGTGGCAGGCAGCTCCCTCAGCATCTGAGCTCCCACTTTGGGGAAGTGGAACCCACCCAGTGGGTCATTTTGATTGAAGGCGGTTTCAACGCATCCCCACAAAGGAAACAGTCACAAGATTCATTACCTACGGATCCCAGTTAGGGGGTGCAACTGAGCTCGGGGAATGGCAGTTTTGCATCCCAGGTCATGGATGAGCAGGAGGCTGAGAACAGCGCAGCAAGCACCTGTCACTGAGAAGGTGGCTGGGACAGAGGTCACTAACTTTTTGCAGGCTTTACTCTAAGGGGTGTCCAACCTTTTGGTGTCTCGGCCACACTAGAAGAAGGGCTGTCTTGGGCCACACATTGGATACATTGGGCCACACATTGGATACACTGCAACATGTAATCACAAAAACATCTCATAATATCTGAAGAAGTTTTACGATTTCGTGTTGGGCTGCGTTCACAGCCCTCCTGGGGTGCGTGTGGCCTGCGGGCGGCAGGCTGACACCCCCCGCAGCAGTCATTTCAAAGGTGCCCTGGAAAAGTAAGGCGGGAACTTCTGATGGGCATCCTGAGCTCCTCCCTATGTGTCCGGACTCCGGGGGTTGTCATGCTGTAAAATGCCTAGGCCGCAATTCAGAAACACAAAGCTGTTTCCCTCAAAAGTTGTTTTTTTCACCACAGAGGCAAAACCTGTATGTACACTTTTAATGTGGGGTCTTATCCAATATATTTACCTTTACCAACAGATGTTGCAAATTAATTTTTAAAACATCTTCTGACTCACTTTTATTTTCTCAAGCTGTGTTTAGCAGTTCTAAATCAGATATTGTGAATAAGAGGGAAAAAAACTGTTTAGGCTTTAAATAGACGAGAGACAACACAGGACTGTCAGCGATACTAGAAGCAGTGAAGCTAAATTTTAACCCGGTCCAAGGCCACCAGCTGTGACATGTCGTCCTGGCCAGTGAGCACTGATGTTGCTGCAGGGAAGGAAGCAGGACTTGGGCTCCTTTGTGTTGTCCCCACTGGGTGCAGTGCAGCCTGCCCCTGGTCGCAGTGGGCCACGGGGCCCGGAACTCCCTGCCCCATGTGTTTTCTAGTGGAAAATGTTTTTTGTTTATACAAAAAAAAAGGATAATATTTTTAAATATTGGCACTCACTTGAAACAAACTAGAGTGACTCGTAGGCACAAACCGTTAGTGGTACGTACAAATATTCATCAAAAATTTATTAATAGAAACAGAGATGTATTTAAACGCAGCACGGGATGAAAACGAAAAGATTGGATACGACAACACCGGAGCATCTCACTTGCACATTACAGGTCTCCCGACAGAACTAGCACCGTTTGCTCAGAAACCACAGATTCGATGGTAATTGCTTCTACTGTATAAAATACCCAGTAAAGATGATTTAACTATCTAGTAACAAAGTTCTTCCAAAAAGTTACTTAAAAATCAAGTAGAATTTACCTTTTGAAACTCGAAGAGATGGTTTAAAAGTTGATCCAATTCTACAGCTTGTCCAAGGGAATGAATCATAAGTCATTTTATTGGAAGAAAGTGCCTCAATTCAGCTTCTAGCTCCCTTCTAAATGCCAACCGGGTACAATAAATTGAATACTACATAGGAATAAGAACACACCTAAAACTGGTCTCAGAAAATATTTTCCTAGACTATAAAAATACTAAGTGGAATACAAAAATTTCAGCATATACAGCAAATAGACTATAGCAGACAAATATTTAAACATCCTTAAAATTATACCACAATCATCATGGACATCAAGTAGTATTATAATTATTCTTCTGCGATTCCTTCCGGTTCAACGTTTTCCCTTTGTTTTGTTGTCGTACAGACCAAACTCTGTGTTTCTGGCAGAGGTTACTGGAGGCGCCACAGCACAGCACAATTCGTGATACCCAGCCGGCTCTCAGAGAGTGTACTCTGTGTGCAATCATAGCAGAGCCTGTCTTTCAGGTCAGGGCTCAGCAAACTACAGCCCAGGGGCCAGCCTGCCCCGTGGCCTGTCTTAGGGGACGTACTGGCTGTGGTTGCTTTCACATGACAAGAGCAGAAATGGCTCTGACAGAGACTGTATGTGGCCTTTTGGTGCACAGTCTAAATATTTACTACCTTGCCCTTTCCTGGAAAAGTTTCAGGAAACTGAAACTAAAACAGGGCCAAGCCCTATTTTACGTAACTCATTTTGGGAAAGTTTGCACTGAACGAGGACAAGGTGAGGTGGTCCCAGATGAAGAACGTCTGGGCTGCGGTTTGCTGGTTCCATCATACAGAAAGGGCCATGGCAGATCAAAGGAATACATATCTGGGTTGGCAACTGTGAGCATTAAAATATCCTGGCATTGTGAGTGCAATCTGGCTGTGATAAAGTTCTCTGTGGATCGGCTATTGTGTATCAAGTAACTCATGTACCTGAACTCAAAAACACACTTACTGTTCAACCCAAACCATCTCCGTGGCTCTCACGCATGATGCCTTTGAACATCGATCATCTTGTACCCTTAGCAAAGGACTGAACTAGAGGCGTACCTTTCCCATCCCTCTGTATCAGCATAGATTCTGTAAGTGCTGGACTGGGTATCTTTTAGAATCCTTCCCGGTGACATGCATCATAATAATTGGTAGTACCACTACCCAGGGCCACAAACATGTCCCTTCTGACAAAGCGGACCAAGTTTTCAAGGGGGCACATGGGCCTGGGAGAACGCTTGTGGTGGTCCTGGCAGAAGGAGGTGTGGAATGTGACATCGACACCATTGTAAAGAATCCGCACAGAATGCTCCCTGGGCTGCTCTCTGTCTTGCCAGAGCTCGAAGATCAGCCTGGCTGCAAACCTTGGGAACTTGGCTTCCAGCAGGCCCAAGGCGCTGAGAACTGGTGACAGGGTGACATCATGAGCAGAATACAGGGCAAAGATCTCTTCCTTTCTGCCCTCGGCAGCACGCTGCATGCGGCCGATGGTCTGATTCAAGATGGGGTGGGCGCCCAGGAGTGAATACCCCAGATACAGTTTCTTCTCCCGCCTGTCTCTCTCGTCCTCAATCTGATGCGTCTTGATCACCTTGAAGTGCTCCATGTCAATACAGCCATTTCTGGTGCAAGGGAAGCTGACGTTGTGGCAGAAGTGACACAGCATGGAGTCTATGGGGTTGGCAGCTCGGAGCTGCTTGGTGGGGACGTCCACAATCTTGGCCATGTCCCCATAGGTCCTCTCCAGCTGGCTGTTCTTCAAGCGTAAGAGGTACTGCCGACGCTGCTCCTTTTCCAGATACTGGTTCCGCACTGGGCAGTAGCAGTTTCCGGAGCAGAAGAGAGCACTGGGCTGGTGCCTGAAATAAATCTTCCTCCAATCAAAATCTGGGAGAAAGCCATAAAGCAGGGCCAGTCCGCTCTGCAGCGTCCGGCTTTTCCCAGTGGTCTCTAAGTAAAGCTGGTCTGGGGACCAGTCACTGGGCAGGAGTTTGTGTTTCTTGAGATAGATGTCCCTCAGCAGCTGGCCATTCTGCAGATGCTGCACGACTCCTGAAACAGAGCAACAGACTTTCCTGACCACCAGCTCGTCCGAAGGCACAGCAGAGGGAAGCTGGGTGAGCCAGTGCCCAGCTGTGGGTTGCCTTAGATCAGTGTGAGAGAATGTAATTGAGTCTGCTGCCCACTGTGTAAAGGCTACAAGAATGGGTTCAAGTCAATGTAACTAGGGGGCACCTCGAGGGTATTCATCAGTGGATGAGCACCGTGGACCAAGGGATGAGCCCTTGGACCACGGCCTTTCTGGGGAGCACAATGACCATCTGCTGCAATCCCTCCCCCTTGACCAGCCCCTGCCCTGGGGGAGGCCTGGTGACTGGCGGGCCTCCGAGGGCAGGAACTACCCTGCAGGTGGGTGCCCAGGCTGTAACTGTCCGGGCCTAAGGAGAGCTCTGGCCCTCTGCCCAGGGACATGACATTCCTGAGTGTGCGGGGAGAGCTCAGATAACTCAGGCAGGTAAAGAGACGAAGCTGCTTGCTGGCTGCTTGGTCCTTTCGGTGCATGGAAGCTCCCTTCCTCCCCCACCCTCCCAACCCTCCCGACCCTCCCAACCAAAGGCCCTCTGTTAGGCTGCTGAGTACATCTTGCCTAATCCTGCCGGGGCTTTGCCAGCTCACCCATAAGGACACTCTCTCTGCATGGAAATGGAACAGTCTCCCAGACACCCAGATAGGATACATGAGAAAGCCCCAACAACCCCAAAGTGCACAGTAGTCTGTTTTTATGCCCCATTTGAATAAAAATGGAGGGGGAATAAGAATGCGCATTTGCAGTTGCCTGTGTGTTGCACGAAGAAACTTTGGAAGGATACACAGGGAAGTGATCTCCATGGTGACCCAGCAATGATGGGGGCACAGACATGGGGAGGATGGAACATGGATAGGAGCAAGAATCTCAGGTTTACCTTTTAGTTGGCTTAGTGTTGAACTGCAGTGTTGAACCACAGTAATAAATTATCTTGAAAAAAGAAAGCCTTATCTTCAAGCGAGAGAAGGCAGCCAAAGTAAAAGCAAGCTCACCTTCCAGCCAATGGGATGCAGTTCCAGTAACATATGAATTCTCTGACGATGGAAACCACATGAAGACCCTATAACCAGTACTATCACTTATTCAGATGCCCAACTGTTTGAACAGCTCTGCCGCAAAGATGAGACAGTTTAAGGCTGAAATGCATGACACAGAGGGCACTGTTGGCCCAGGAAGGGGGACGGCTCAGAAAAACCCACAAAGGATGTCCTACTCTGAATGAAGACCATTGACTGAGAACAGAATGCCCTCAGAGAACTGGGCTGGGACAAGCCTTAGCATTTCCAAAATGATCTGCAAAATGAGGCAAACTGTGAGTGATACACTGAGAACCTGTATCTGGCCCTCGTTCACCTCTGGGCCTATTGCATGCTCTTAAGCCACGTGTATTACAGTTGGAGTGCTTACTGTATGCCAGACCTTTCTCCTTTAACCTGCACCAAAACCCAGTAAAGAAGGCACATTATTCTCCCCATTTTCCTCATTCTCCAGATGAGGACACCGAGGCCCTGAGCCCTTCTTGGCTGAGAGGTAGCAGAACTCGAGCCCCATCCCAGCCCCTACCTTGTGCTCTCAGCCGCTTCTCACAGCACCTTCTTCCTGTGTCTCCATGGAGAAATACCAGCTTGCAGCCATTTTAGGGCTTCTTATAGTCTTCAAACACAGCCTGCACATTCCTGGCTTTGTTCCTGCTCTTCACCTCCCTCTTCCCAGAGGAATCCTCATCCAGCGCCTGGCTGCAATACTGCCTTCTCTGTGCAGTCTTCCTTCTTTCTCCCCCAGGGCACATGAGCAATTCCTTCCTGCCCCCATATGCCGCATGCACGGAGCCTGGCATACGCTAGCTCTGTGCTAGGCACTTTCCCGTGCTCTCGAATTTAACTCACTACCAGCCCAGTTGGGACGACACGGCCCCATTTCACAGGTGTGTCTGCCCCAAAGCCTGTGTTTGTTTTCTACAATCCTGCAGCAGTAACCTTAGTGACCTCTGCACACGCGGCCCCACTGCAGCTGAGGGGCCCATTAGGACAGGCTGCAGAGCACCTCACTCGTCTGCCTGCCCACTCCTCGCTGACACTCAGCAGCTGCCAAAGCATCTTGAATAGAGCAGGCACTAATGATCAACCTGTTCTTATGTAGTGGCTGTGCGGTACCAAAAGTGTGCCAGTTATAAATGATTGTTATAACAGCTATATTTTTAAAATGAAATTTCAAACAGAAGATAAAATTGGCCATTAAAAGAGAATAAGGGAATGGGAGAAAACAGTACTGCAAAAAAATTCTAGAATACTACTAATTTAGAATCTGATGATGGTACTAAGTCAGTTGAGAAGAAAGGTCAGAACAAATGTCTCTAAGAGAGTGAGGGCCACACACAGCCCCCACTCTCGATGCACAGTCACCCTGACCTCTTAGCCAGCTGGTGGACACAGACCCTCAAGGATACCATCAGAGTCTCTCTATCAAGAACCTGGACTAGCCAGTCCATCTCTGGGTGTGGCTAGGGCTGTCACTCTGTCATGACACATGGTGAAACCAGAGGCAGACACAGCCAGCCTTTTTATTCCCGGTTCCAGTCTCTGGAGGCCTGGTTGCATTCTTGCCCTTAGAGTCAGTGAGTCACCCTGAATCCTTACAATAAATGTCCTTTTTTTTGCTTGAGTTGGTTCTGTTACTTGGAACTGGAGTCTAAGCAATGGTTCTCAGCAGGCCTGGTTCTGGGGAGGGTGTGGAGGTGGTGCTGTCACAATAATAAAGAAAATAAATGTCCTTGACCCCCAGTGGGTGGTGGCCAGGGGGCTGGACAGTCTTCTGAAGGAACTGTTCTCTGTTCCATATAACTGCTGAATGTGCCATAAGACATTGCCACATGTGAAAAAAATCCATTTAAATAGCTTACTTAGAACCTTTTTTTGAATCTACAAAGTCATTTTTGCATAATATTAACATCCAATGAATTGTACAGAAATGTGATATTGAAGGCCATCTGTATTTTGTTTTGATCAGAACTTGTTAAAAAAACATATCTGTAAGAACTTAAAACACTAATTTGAAAGAACTAAAGCACCCCTTTGTTCATTGCAGTGTTGACAATTGCCAAGATATGGAAGCAGCCCATGTCCATCAATAGATGAGTGGATAAAACAACTATGGGACATTCACACAATATCTACTCTGCTGTAAAAGAGAAGAAAGTTTTATCCTTTGTGACAGTATAGATGGACATGGCAAACATGCTAAATGAAATAAGCCACTTAGAGAAAGACAAATACCAGATGATTTCACTCATATGTAGAATCTAATGCATAAACTGAACCAACAAGCACAACAGAGACAGACTTGTAGATGGAGAACAGATGACAGCTAGTAGGGGCGATGGGAGAGGTTGGGAAGTGGAGGGATCGACCAAAAAGGAAGAAGGACTCATGACATGGACAATGGTGTGGTGACTGCTGGGCGGGGAGGAGGTATAAAGGGACTAAATGGTATTGGAAAAATATATAATAAAGATTTAAAAATAAATAAAAATTAAAATTAAAAAAATCTTGCCCTGACACTTGGTATTAAAGTCACCAATACGACATCCTTTAACCAGCCATTTTGGTAGTGGTCACAGTCGGCAATCTGTATTTATGTGTAAGCAACTGATTATGTCATTCCATTTTCCAGTGCAGATGCACTCAAGCATTTATACTGAGGTGTACAGAATTCTATAATAAATTAGTGTCCTTGTTTCCCTCTTTTATGTTATAGTTAGGGTACCTAACTATATTTTTAAACCTAACATATTTTTAAATTACATGTATAAAAAGATTATATTTGAATCTTACTTCAGGATAGTTAAGGGAGTGCCTTAACTTGTTCATAAAAGGGGTACTGGATCTGGTAGGGTTGAACTCCTGTTTTAAACTGATGCAGAATTTGTGCACATGAAACTAATTATCAAAAGCTTTTGACAAAACTCTATTCAGGGCTGGCCCTCTATTCAGCTTGCCCTTGTCTGTCACCCACTATCATTCTCCCCAATAATAATGGCTTTCAAAACATGGTGAGACCCAAGAGGGTCAACTACAGGACAGAGCCCTTCCTTCCGTCAAAACTGAGGTCCTATGATGCTGGGGGGACAAGAAGACACAGCATGGCCCATCGGTCCTTCTGATTCTTCCAGAGAGGCGGGTGACCAAGTACAAGTCATTTGAGGTCCCAGAGTGAAGAAGTTGGAAACTGGAATCTCTTGGTGGGAAGGAGAGTCAGTTCTTTCTCTTCCCCAAAAGGTGACCCCACAATTACTGTCAGGTGTCGCCAACCTGCCCTGACAGTGAACTGGCTGCAGAGAAAAAGATGGCCTTCTGTGAGGGACTCACTTGACCAGAGGACTCCTTGCTCAGTGGGGACCTGCCATGTGTCTGTCCCTGAGCTCTGGTGCACTGAAACTTATCAGGTGTCACGTCTGCAGTAGCTAAGAACACGGGACTGGTTGTACGAGTTATGGCCCATCCACGGTGGAAAAACTGGTGGCCAGCAGAAACGGTGTTGTTTACAAATGGGGAAGGATGACCACAATATAGTGAGTGGAAAAGAGTGTGACAATAGTGTGTTCAGTAGGATACCACTGTGTGTGTGCGTGCACATGCACGGACACAGGAAGAAAGATAGCTAATTTTTTTTGTGGGATCGTGGATGCTATTTTTCTTCCTTTTGCTTTCTTAATCTCTCTTCTATAAACATATTGCTTTTCTAATAACAAATTTTCTTTTAAATTTTTAGAAATCAGATGTCTGAATGGGTGTATTGGTGGACTCGGAGCTGCTCGAGGTGCCAGTCCTTGTTTCCCCTGTGAGCGCACTGCGCCTTGCCCAGGGTTACTCGCTCCACATGTGTGCCAGGCGGAAGGGAGAGGAGAACACTGGGCGGATGGCTGTCACACGTACCTGTCTGGGTGAGCTCTCCCATCTCACATAGCGGGTGATTGGGGAAGAGAGGCAGGGAGTGTAAGGGGCTTTCGAAAGAGGCTCCGGGTCCTTTTGACATGTGACTAACGAACGCTTCCAGTTTAGGGTGATAAGGTTTCCTAAAGAGAGAACACAGAGATTTAGTGGTCAGTGTGCTCCAGAGCGGTCCGCAACGGTTTCAGCTTCAGCCAGCAAAATCCCAAGTGTGGCGTGCCCATCCTCCCCCACAGTGGGCGCTCCCTCAATCGCTTCTGAATTCCGAATTCCACTGAGGCCTGTGCATAAAAATCCCACCCTGAGAGGCCAGCCTGTGCGCCTCTCTGCTGAAGCGCCCATCACTCTGGGAGTCAGCTTTGCCCTCCATCGTCTGGCTCCCAACCTGTGCCCCTCCCATTTCCCTCTCCAGGAGGCCACCGACCCTTACCAGATAATCGTGCCTAGGCTGTGAGTGCTAGATTTGTCCCTCCCCTGCCCATACACATGCCGTCTGCCCCTGAATCCTGCAGAGGTGTCCTCCAGGGGCTTCACGCCTCTCCCACACCCCTGCAGCCACTAGCTGGGTCCTGGCTCAGACGGTTTCTGTCGGATGGCACGGGTTCCCCTTTGGACCATCTGCAGCCTAATCTTGTCCCTCTAATCTGCCTTCACAGCGGCCAGAGACATCTCCTTAAAAGGCAGCCCCAACCCAACACCGCTCTTCACATCGCTGCCTTGTGGAAGGAGCCACGCTTGCCAGTCAGTCTGCTCTGGCCCCAACCTGCATTGAGGCTCGGGGCTGGCCAGCCCTCTCCATTCTGACGCTGTGTCCGGCGCAGCCCACCGACTGACTTCTGTTCCTCCAACACCCCTTATTCTTTCACGTTTCCAAGATTTTCCACATGCTGCCTCTTCCTCCTAGAAAACCCACCCCAACCTTTACCTGGGTAATCCTTAATCCTTAACTTACGTGACTCTTTTGAAAAATTAACTAATTAGGATAACCAAGGTCTCTATAGCTTTCTACAATTCATTATGTATTTTGCACATGCTATATCTAATTTCGTGTGGGGTGGTAACAAATAGCAGAGCAAAACAAAACCAAACAATAAAACCTAAAAAACCCAGTATGTTTATGAGATCTGACTTAAAAAAATATTTCTGCCATGGAGTACATGTAGTACACGTAGTAAAAGAAGATTCAATTTACCTTTCTAGTTACTAATATACAATTTCCCCGAATAATGAAAGGGTCCACGTATGGGTATTTTCTCTGAACAATGAACTGACCTGTGAAGACGCACACACTTTGTCGGAATAGTGAGAGGACTTAGGAATATTTACAGCTTTTCTCTGAACAATGAAATGGCCTATGAACGCACTCTCCAGCTGAACAGGAGTGGACAGACAGAATAGCTCCCAATGAAACCACATCAGCACAAAAACAGCAAAGACGAATTGTCTGAGTGGCAGACCCTTGCTGTCTGAAAGCCCAGTTCCTGTTGGCAATGCTTTAGAAATGGCTGCCAGAATAGGTTTGATATTCTTCAAAAATATAAGGCTCAAAAAAATCCACCTTAAAAAAAAAATGGGTTTCGAAATGAAAGAATGCTAATCCTGTCGCGCAGTGAGTCTGATAAATCACCCAGGCCTGCTGCACACAGAGGGGGTGCGATTTTCCCCGAGGCTACAACACAAATGTTTGCTAAATGGGAAATGGAATTCCAACTGACCGGGCCTGCCAACCTGCTCGCACATGAACACAGGCTACGTGTCAGCAGGAGTCCCAGCGGCTGCTGCGGCCGCTCTTTCAGGTTGGTGATGTCTGAGCATCTAGGAAAGCTCTGCGGCCAATTTTAAAACAAAACCGCACTACTGGGCGCGTTCGCTGTGACGCCCCAGGCTCCCCGGAGACCTGACTGCTTCACCATGTGTTCTTTTCTCCCCGTGTTCCTGAAAACTTGGTTTTGGCAGGGCAAGATGAAGAGTCATGGAAGAAAAACTTCACTCGTGGAAGAGAAAATCAATGGCTGGATCTTTTTAATGGGAAGAGAACCGGGTAACCCGAGGCCCCCTGCCTGTCCTTGATCTGAACAGCCAGTTCCTGCCTGCCTAGTGCGCAGCTCCACCTGGGAGCTGAGGGGGTACCCAGTGCATGGCAGCCCCTCCGAAAAGGCACGTGAATGAATTCACCTGGGAAGTGACCCGCCTTAGACCCTCGGAAAAGTCCAAGCCTCCCATAATCCATAGCAAGGAATGTGGCAAGTTCCAAGTATTTATTAAAATGTTCAGATTTTGATAGAAATATTAAAAATAAATACTATTGAGGGGGAGACTGCTAATTCTGACAAAGCCTCTCTTTGAGCAAAGTTCAGTGAGTCTCCCCTGAACCCCCTTCCCAAGGAGGCCTCGACTTTTGGACTGTCTTTGTGTGGCCCAGTTTTAGCAAGAATCTGCCTAAATTGGTTTAACTGGCCAGAATCTCCCACTCTTGATATCGATCAAATTCCTCAGCCCCAGGTGCCACCTGATCACTCTGGGCCGCCTTTAGCAAGAATCTGGTCAAGGGGCTTTAGCCAGAATTAACACCCCTCCAGCCTCTGCATTGTTCCTGACATCACCTCTGAGGAATTTCCCATTCACTGACCCCCACCTTACTCCGTGGCTATAAATCCTCCCTCGTCCTTGCTGTATTTGGAATTGAACCCAGTTCTATATGGAGGTCTCTTTCCCCTGACTGAATTAGTTCCTGAATAGAATGTTTTCACTGCTTAAAGACTGTCTAGCTCTGGCTTTTCTTTTAGTTGCATACTAAAATCTCTTCTACTCTTCTTGGGAACTTGGTTAGAGCCCATTTCTGAAGTCCTGGTGGTTGGGGAGAACCACGTGACTCTGTGTGATAGATGTTAATAAAGGAAGGGAGCAGAGGAAAGCAGGCATCATGATTTCCTCTCATTAAGCCTAACAGATTTGGGATTTGAATCAGACAGTAAATCTGCTTACTTCACTAGGAAGTTACAGCTTCACACACTCCCCAGGGAACCACCAGTTCATTCCCTGCAGATTACCGGGGAGGATAAAACGATGAGGGGAGATTCCTCTCCTGGGCACCTGCCTGGTAGAGGCCAAGATGGCAAAGGGGAGGTGCTTCCTCTATGAGACACGCACAGTAGGAGCTAAAATGGGGACCATAAAGGCGTGTCTGTCTAGGCTGGGAGAGGGATCAGATTGGATAAGGGACACAGAACCACGGAAGATCTAGGAAATGGACTGGCTTAGGGGGAAGGGCCCAGCAGCAGCCTGTGAGAGCTTGGGAAGTGGATTGGTTAGCTTGATGAAGCGCCTAGTCCTTCCCAAGCCTCAGATACTATAATCCCATTTCAACAAAGAAGCCACTCCGTCACTTGGTAACATGTGCTTACCATGTTCATTTGTTTGTTCTCTCTTCCGACAGCCATGTAGGTCTAGCAGCCAGGCGACTCCAAGCCTGGGCCTGGGCACAGCCAGCTGGAGTGCAGCCAGGAACACAGACTAAGCTAGCCAGATGGTGGCAAACAGTGGCCTGGACTGAGCCAATGGCACAGAACTTTTGGACCTTGGCCTTTGTACTGGGCTTGATGAAGACAAGGTTGGACTTTTTCCATGACAGGATGGATGGAATGGGACACTGGGAACCCAGGGGCAGTCCTTTGATTTTGCTTCTGCAATGAATCTTACCACAAAACCTCAACCTCCCATGCGGTGAGTCTCCTGAAATGCTTTTCTCGAGACCCTGTGAAAGGGCCCCATCTCCTCTGGCAACAGAAGGAAGTATGCTGCTTCTGGGTTTAGGCTTTCAGACCACGGGTGTGTCCCATTCTCACTGTCTGCCTTCCTGTGGCCACTATTCTGGCACAACAGCAGCCCAAGTTCAGTCACGTAGACTCTCCTAGGCTGTGGGGGGAAGAACACAGGAAGGAATCCAGAACCTTGAATGACCTAGTCCTACAACCTGGAACATTAGTCTCAGATCTTCACACAAAAAAGAGATGCCTTCGTTATTCAAGGAAATGCATTTCTGGATCTCCTTCCTACCCTGACTAGTACAGAAATGATTGTATCTGTGGCAATGAACTTTTCTTCAGGAAACATTCATGTTTCTGTAACCTCATCGGAAATCTGCTTCCACACTGAAAATTCGAAGAATCGGAAGTACCACTATTTTAGGCCTTCAAACCATTCACTTCAGAGCAGTTATTTACATTTTTATATGCATTGTTTATACCTATATATGCCTCAAAGCTGAGACAGAACCCCAAGGCCAACCTGCACACCCACGAGATTTGTTGTGCTCCAGCAAGTCATCTGAGCGACTGCTGACCTCTGCACAGGACGTAAGACTGGAGAAGCAGTGTAAGACCAGGGACACTGCTATTCAAAAAAGCTTACATGGCTGGAAACTTACATGAGTTCACACCACAGCTTTTTAGAGTTTATGCTAATTAAAGAGGTTATTATATTACTAATAAAATGAAATTCTAACAAGAAACACTTAATATTCTCAGTTTTTGGCTTTCTGGACCTTTTTGCTTTACCTGATGTGACTGCTTGCCTTCTCCCTGCTTCCTGGAACTCTCCCCTCCCATAGTTCTCACACGTCACCTCCTGCCTTCTTCCCTGTTCGCCAGGTCCCGGTCCCCTCTGGGATCCTCCTCTCTCTCTGTGCTACCACTGGTTGTTTCCCAGGACTTTTCCCTGCCCTTCCCTTACTCCAGAGGCTCTGCCTGTGATTCCGTTCAAGCCCACAGCTCCAACTGTGACCTACATGGTGAACTCTCCAGTCAACCTCTTTCTCCAGACAAGATAATTCCTGGGCCTCACAACTACCCAGCCTATAGTAATTTCTAGAAACTGTGGAAACACTTGGATGTCTGGTAACAGTTCAGACTTGGTGCTCAGAACTCTCCTTGTAACTTCCCTCCCAGATTTCCCTTCTTCCGTGTGTTATAGGGAGAGGCATTGCCCAGTCAGAAACCAGGGCACCATCCCATCTCTCTCTCTTATCTCCACCAACCTGTCACCAAGTCCTGTGGATCTGACCTTGTAACTCTCTCAGACCCACCCCCATTCTCCATGTCTGTCTTCATTCCCCGAGTTCCAGCCTCCATCATTTATTCACTCAACAAACACTTAGTCATTCTCCTCCCATGTGCCAGGCACTGTCCTAGGCATCTGGGACAGCAGCATTGAGCAAAAACAGAAATCGCTGCCCTCAGGAGCTTACATTCTAGCCTGGGGATGTAGGCAACTACAGCGAACACTCTAAGTATGGGTGTGAGTGTGTGTGTTAGAAAGTAAAAGATGCTTTATGTTGATGCCTTCATCAAAAAGAGGAGCAGGGTAAGGGGAACCTGGGAGACTTGGGTGAAAGGAGAAATGCACAGTAATTTTAACAGGAATGCTTTGACTAGTCTTATCGAGAAGATGACATTTGAACAAAGAGACGTGAAGGATGTGAGTGAACTGGCCATCATACAGCTACCTGGAACGTAACTGTCTGGAAAGAGGACACAGTCAGGGCCAAAGCCTCAAGGTGGCAGCGTGCCTGCACGTGGGAAGGAGAGGCAGGAGCAGTGTGGCTGAAGGCAAGGAGAGCAGCAGGTGAGGTCAGATGAGGAGAGGGGAGGAAGAGCACAGCAGGCCTTGAAGGTCAATTGAAGGATGTGGGCTCTGCCCTGGCTGGTGTGGCTCTTGTGTGCAGGGCAGTGGATTTCGTGCTGGCCTGCAAACCAAAGGGTTGCAAGTTTGATTCCCAGTCAGGGCACCTGCCTGGGTTGTGGGCCAGGTCCCCAGTAGGGGGTGCTCAATAGGCAACCCCACATTGATGTTTCTCTCCCTCTCTTTTTCCTTTCCTCCCCCCCTTAAAATAAAGAAAAAAAAATTTTTTTTAAAGACATGGGCTCTGACTCTGTGAGAAGTCTTTTTCTGGATCACTATCCCCATAATACTGTAAAAACCAGCACCCGCTCCCACTCCAACCTCCACATCTTCCTAATTTCAGCCCTTCACTCCCCAGCTTCCCTACCTGCCTTCATGCTTAGAGTCCACGCTCCTTAGCTAGACATCCAAAGCATCAGGTGACCTAGTCACCTCTCCACTCCATGCTCAAGCCTGTGAGTTGAACTGTCACCGGCCCATACCTTTGCACAGGCAGGTGTCACTGCCCTGGGTACTGTTTGTCCTCAGCTGCTACCTGACTTATTCCCGCACACCAGTTAGGTCCCTTTCTCTTGGTGACCTTCCCTGATCCATCACCCCACCTCTCCTCCCTGCCCCAAGCTGAGTCAGGCTGCCCCTCTTACGGCTCATGCCACAAAATGTGGCACCAAAACTGCTTCCAGTGTTCTACTTCTTTCTCTAATACTGCTGCTGCTGCTCCCACCTGTGCTGGCTGCCACTCACTGGGGGCTTTCCATGCGCCAGCTCAGTGTCTCCAGTGGTGACCGGGCCCGCCGAGGGCAGGAGCGGCCTTTCTTCCACGGATCCTCAGGAACCCACTCTCCCCCTCGGTCCTCCAGTCCAGCCACATCCTCGTACTATGTTACCGTTACTCAGAGACGCCCAGTTCTCCCAGCCCTTTGCACTTGCTGTTCCCTCCATCAGGAACACTCTCCCCCCGGAGCCTCACAGAACCGGCTCCTTCACTTCATTTAGGATCCTGCTCACATGAGCCAGGTACATGCGACAGTACCTGCTACATGATGTGCACTTAAAACTAAAGTTTATTAAATAAATGCTGATTTATCAACATTCTTTTCTTCTTTGGACTTAGAAATGAGTATCATATCCATGTGCACGAATGCCAACTAAAATCATTTACTAAACATAGCATGTCATCGGCTAACCTTACTACTGGCTGAACATGGTCCTTTGAGGGTACAAGGAGCACCTTTGTCACGAGGCACACTGCGTTCACAAAGACGCGGCTCCCACCACACAGATGCTGAGGGCCCCACAGCATGTCATTGTGAAGGGAAACTTTGGGGCAACCGACTTGTGGACATCTGGCTCCTCTCACTCAGCTCACTGCGCGGAGCAGACACTCTCTCCCAGACCAGGGCAACGGGCACACTCCAGGACCCAGGGCCTTTCAGAAGGCCGGGCCGTGGAAATTAGGAATTCGTGAAGCTCAACTGGTACCTGCGAAGGCAGCAGACGCTGCTGGTGCCACCGATCCCATAGTCTCAGGGGACCCAGAGGCCCCAAGTGGATTCACATGGCCGAAAGTCCTGCCCACGCTTGTGAATAACAGGTTGATATTTATTGTTTTTAAAGGTGGAATTAATTAAATGATGTTAATTAATTAAACATGCATACTCTACGCACTTTCTACAAAGCACTTAAAGTAGATCCTAAAAATACAGAATGTTTGATCAAATAAAACTAGGTCATAAGATCAAGGTCAGGGAAAACGAGGGCAGAGGCAATGGGGGGCAGGTAATCCCCAGGAACTATGGCTCTCCAATGGGAGCCCCAGAAACGGCCCCTTCAGTGGGTCCTGCCATCGCTTGGACAGAATGAGGGGCCCTGTGGCCTGTCCCAGCTTCATGGCCATGCCCACTTGGGGAAGGAAAGAGGCCAGGCCCCCGAAGACCTCCAGGCTGCCGTGGTACATGAAACGCCACCCCCTTACCGAGCTCTTGGTATGGACCAGGCTTAGTGCCTCACCCCTTCACCTTAGTCAGACTTCACAAGGGTGTGGGAAGGAAGGTATCCCTACTCCCAAGTTCCAGAACAGTGGACTGAGGCTCAGAGAGGCTAAGTGCTCTTCCCTACATCTAACAGGTTACAATGGCCTCAGAGGACTCCCAGCCAAGACCTAAATCTGATAGGAACACATGATAGAAAGACGATAGGCCATTGTGACTTGCGATTCTCACTTAGATCCTCGATTTGTTCTGCAGCCAACCCTGCCCAACAACCATTATATGCCAGGCTCAGGCTGGGCCTGGGAGACACAGGGAGGAGCAAGACCAATGCCCTGGAGAAGCCTGTGGTGGTGGTGGGCGCAGAGACAGTTGTGCTGGGAGGGCAGGCTGCAAGGTACCCCAGTGCATGGGGGAGGCCCTGCACCTGCCCAGGTGGCCCCGACCAATGGGTCCTCCCAGGAACAGCTAGGGAGGCCCCCAGAGGCTTTGCATCCCCAGGGACACTCTAGTGACAGCTGATTGGTCTGAGAGCAGACCCTGAGCCGAGCCTCTCAAACTCTCACTTCTGAGAATCTGAAGCCCAGAGAGAGAATGAGGATCAGAAGCTGTGAATAGCTAGAAATGAAGCATGGTCCGCCCACGAAGCCTTTGAGGCTGTCCTGGGTCCGGCTAGCTCCGAGGCCATAGCCTACCTGTGCCCGGGCTCTTCCCGGGCTGGATATCCAGCCAGTGTCCAAAGGTAGGGCTGTGCCAGCTGTTACCACACAGATACTGCTGTGCCTGATGGAGCAAAACCACTTCCCCAAGCTGCCCTCCCTGCAGCCCACCCTGTGCCCTCCTGCCACTTTGGCTGCTCCGGCCCATCCCCATGATCCAGAAACTAAAGGTCACAGCAAGTGACCTCCACCCTTGCCCTAGTCCTCAGGCTAGCTAAGGTCTGACCACTAAATATTTTGTTCTGAGACCTCCCTGCAGGCCCCCCTCTCCAGTTTGAGGTGAGGCAGGCTGAGCCTGATTCGAGCAGAGAATCCATCCTCATACAGGGAGAGATTCCTAGAGGAGCCACATCTCCGGGGGCCTCGCAGGAGTTGTGGGAGTGGGCCAAGCTGGCGAGGGGCATAAGCAAGCCAAACGGCAGGTGCGAGGCCTGAAGGGGTGAGGGGGGCTAGCAAGAAGTGGACACGGCAGGGGCAGAGGGTCCCTGCGGGAAGGCTGGCACAGGAGGCTACAGCCTGGAGGGAGAAAGCCAGGGTCTGCACGGCACCCTGACAGGGCTGGGCTCCACCGGAGGGTCTTCCGACCTGGGGACTCCAGGTGTGCCTCGGCACTGGCGAACGTAGAAAAGAAAACACAAATACCCAGATTGCAAGTGTCATGACCCCTAGCAGGAAATGAAAAAAAATATTTGAAAGCCTGCAGTTACATAGTATTTCATGATGCTTTTTACCAAAGATGGCTCACTTAATCTTCTCCATAATGAGAAGGGTAATGAGAAGGCTTAAGATTCAGAGTCGACCTGAAACTCCTGGGTTCCCACTGCGGTCCACGTTGCACGAACAGCTCTGGCTGCAGCGAGGCATTCTGTGGTTCCTCCAGGAGCAGTCCATCAACGTAACACCTTCCCCACTGAGCACTTACCTCCGACTCATCTCCTCATTCAGCAGATTCTGCTAGGATGTTATGTGTCTCCAGACACGTGTGTGGAGGCCCAGCCCATACTTCATGGCTAACTGAGCCTCCGGCTGCAGAGCCACGCCATTTTCATGGGCACCATTTCCATCCCTTTCAATCATGTTTCATCCTGAGGGCTCTCAACCAAGAGCAGGCTGCTTCTGCCCCTGTCGATATCTGAGGTGTTATCTTCCATTTATACGGCTTTGCAAATAAAGGAGAGTGGGCCTTCCCTTCTCTTCTCTCACTTCTTCCTCACCCCGCCCTGCAGGTCAGCATTGGCCCCCCCTGCTTCAGAGATAGAAGGCTGAGGCTCAGAGAGACTAAGGGACTTACCTGCTGCCCTGAATGGAACAGTTTGGCCAGGGTCTGAGGACTCCTAACCCAGTGCTCACTGCACCATGTCCCAGCCATTCCTCAAACTGAAAAGCAGCGGGGTGGGAGAGGGGGCCTCGGACTGGTCTTCTTATCTGCTGTGTGGCCTCGCACAGGTGTCCTCACCTCTCTGGGTCTGTCTCCTCAACTGTGGGACCTCAGTAACATGCAGGATTGTTCTGAAGATCAGACTCACTCCATGACAGGTCACACCTCACCCTGTCATTCTCTTGTCAGCATTTTGATTAGGATGGACAAAACAGATTCTTGAAAAGAACTTTTAGAAAAAGTGCAATGTACCTGTTAGCCACTAGAGTGCAGTCAATTTCTGGTCGCTTCGTTTTGGGAATGACATACAGTGGGTATCGGTCCCCATGTCGAATGAACACATGTACTGAGACCAGCTTAAAATGATGGGGAGCGTGACCTGTGAGAGACACAGACAGAAAGAGAGACAGACAGACACACTGTCTTGTTATCGCTCAGGAAGTGTGAGCCCATTTCACTTCACAGAAGAGAGGAGGGGTGACTGGTGGAAGGGTGCGGTGTCCGGGTGGGGGTGGGTGACCCTGAACAGACTCACAGGAGGGCAGAGGGACAGGAGAGGGCTGGTTATGCCTCAACCCCCAGAAGTCACTGGGAGGCTCTGGGGGTGTGGCTGGGGGTGGGGGCCAGTGACATGTGAGCAAGAATGTCCCTGTGGCCTCGTTCACACCCCAGACTAGGTGGAGGCCCACGGAAACACTGGACACGGCGACTTCTGCCTTGAACCCTTCGTGAGCGAGCAGGGCACAGACAGGCTCCACGTCATTCTGATACACTCTCAAAAGAGCAAAATTCAGTGTAGAAATAATTTTCTCACACCTTTGCTACAAGACACCAGCAGGGTGTCCTGAGCCCCCAGAGAGCCTACTGGGAAAAGCTGGGGGTGATGCTCTAGAGCTGAGGGAGCTAAGACGGGGGACCTCATTCAGAGGCCTAGTGGCAGGGCTGGCACCCAGGCCAGCAAGGTCCTCAGCACTGGGCTGCGCGGCTTGAAGAAGAAGCGGTCCCCAGAGGGGTGTCCGTCCAGGGGCGGAGCTGGGCGGTGCGGGCGGGCCTACCTTCCATGCTGCGCTCGGCCACGCTGGGAATGTTGCAGTACAGGAGAGCTTCGTACACCGGGTCTGTCCCGGGCGGCTCCGTCACGGGGTCGGGCATGATCCTCTTTCGGCTCTTGCTACTCACTCCATTCTTAGCCACGGACACCGGGATCAAGTGGACTGCAAGGAAAGCCAAGCAGGTCATGACACATGCAGTCACTGGCCCACGGGGCCAGCCGGAGGGGCACAGACTGTGGCGGGATTTTCACCTTGAGTGACCGTTCTTCCCCTCAGCACAGACTTTGGTGGATCGCGAGGTCAGCTTCCCTCCAAGAACCGTTCCCGGAGCCCCCACGGTGCCTGGCCTCTTTCCTGACTCCATGTTCTCTCCTCACTGATAATGATGCAACATGGGGGGGCCCACAGAGAGGGGCCTCACTCAGGGTGGGGATGGAGGGGGTTGCACAGCTGCTTCATTCAAACAGATAACCTCCTTCCTAACACCCTCTGAACTCAAGTAAATACTGAGGAAGCAAACCATCACCCTTTGTGTGCCTGTGAAGAGCTAGACGCATGTGTGACAGTTCTCATTTAATGCCACCTGCCGTGCAATTTTTGGCCCCCTGAGCTGGGTCATGGGCGTCCATTCAATAATCCCCATGAAACTACATCAGGAGTGGAGAGCCACAGACCCAGGGGGAGGCTGAGGCAGCTGCCCAAGGTGCACGTGGTGGCTGGAGCCCCATTTCAAGCTCACTCCTCTGCCTCCGGGCCAGGTGCCCCACCCCATATTTTCCTGCATGCCGTGCGTGGGCTCTGCAGTCTGCCATGTTTGCCCATCTAGCACCCCTCTTTCTGCCGGTGAAACCCCGCCCCCCAACCAGGTGGCTCTGGTTGAATGATCAGTCACAATGTCCCTGGCCCCTGGGAGTGGACATGTGATTGGAGTCAATGAGGACAGTGATGGGGCCACTGGACTCCTCTTCCTTGAGAGAGGTGCTGTGCAGATACTGGGAAATGGTCTCCTTTTCTGCTAGACACCGGTTCCTAAGGATGCAAACTTGGGGCTGCCCCAGCCATCTGTCCCCCATGGCAAGCCTTCATCTGCGGGAGAAGAGATGCTGAGTGGAGCCAACCCAGACCAACAAATGAAGAGAGCTGATCAGAGAGAGAGAAAGTAGACCTGAGGACATCATCCTCTGTGCCCCTTGTCCACGTGTGGCTGAAGCCAGAACCTGTCTTACATATGAGTTGAGAGAGTCCTCTTTTTGCTTAAGCTAGTTTGAGTTTGGTGTCAGTTACTTTCAACCAAAAGAGCTCTGATCAATACACTTTGTCGGTTACCATGTTTTGTTGTGTATAAGGTGTACTTTTTTGTCCAAATTTTTGAGGAAAAAATAAGGATGCATATCATACATGGGTAGTACTAACTCTGTATCTATATAAATGTTTTTACTTCTTTTATTTATGCTTATGTGTTAAAAGTATAACTCTAGAAAGAAATGATATCCATATACAAAATAATACCCTAGAATACGACCATCAGTTTTCTTTCTAAATAGAAACAAATCAAAATTGAATTAAAAAAATAAAATGAAAAATTTTCATCCCTAAAGTTTGGGCCAAAAATGTGAGTGCACATTATAAATGGCAAAATATGGCATTTACCAGCAGACAGAAGCCCATCTTCTGGGTGGTAGCCCTCTACCTTCCCATGTGGGGGAACCTCTGTGAGGAATCACAGACTTTCTGGAACCCCCTACACAGCAATAGTTGTATTTTAGCATCCACCAACGGAGGAAATACACAGAAATAGATGTGCCCATCAATCATTTAACTCCTAAAAAGTTTATGAATCACCACAATATGTTATAGATGCCCACATTTGAACAACAGTCAAAACACGGCCCAATCACCAGTCTAAATCTATTTCAATTCCCTAATTTCTTCTACAAATTATTCTAAATATTTACAACTTCCCTTTGGCAAATTAATGTTATAAACAAGGGTGAAAGACAAGCACTCCACTGAGAGTAAAGTATTTACAGCATACATAACAGGAAAATTATTAACATCCCAAGTGCGCACCAGGTCCTAACACTGAAAAATCAGTAAAGGATACAAACAGGCTAATGACAGGAAAATAAATGCCAATGTCAATACCCATCTGAGAAGATGTTCAACATTATTTATAATTACAGAAATACAAAATAAAACAACAACAGGACATGACCCTCCGCATCAGACTGGACAACAAAGTGTGGCTCGTAACATCAGTACCGGCATGGGAGTGAAAGCAGCGCTTCCACGCACCGAGGGTGGGAGTGGCCACCAGAGCGACCTTTGGAAGGAGCATTCGGCTGCAGCCACCGCATGTTATGTGGGCTTCATTCCTGGTCCCACCATTATGCATCTTGGAATCTACTCCACAGGGATACGGACTCCCATCACAAAGATACATCACAAAGATACATCACAAAGATACATCACAAAGATGGACGGCCAAGGAGATCCACTGCAGTGCTGTTTACAATAATAAAGAGGGGAAATAATCTAAATATCTCGTTGGCAGAACAGGACCCTACAAGGACAATAGGGAATATTCTGCCACGGTGAAAAAGAATGGAAAAGAACCAAAGATAAAGGAAGCAGATAAACCAAGTCACAGGGTATTTACACGATCCCCTTTGTGTAAAGAAAATTCAGACTACAAGTGTATGAATACACAGGCGTTTGTTTATTAGGCAAATGCACAGGAAAATGCCTACAAGGGCCACCCTCACAATGCAGCTGTGAATTCCTCTGGGGAATGGGCGAAATGGGGGGCAGAGTGTCTTCACTTGTTCTTCTATTGCTGTCTACATTGTTGTATGTATCCACACATACATGTATGTATACATATTTACAGTAAGCATGTTACATATGTTCTATACGTATAGAAATATGTTATTTCTCTAATGTTTACATCTACTTATATTAAGATAACAATCACAGAGCTATAGAGTTGGCCGTTTACTGACCCAAAATTACCCTTTAGTTCATTCTAGAGCCATTTTCTTCCCAAAGGGGCTGGGAAGGGGCTGAAACGGAGCACACAGCCCGGGGTGTTAATGTACAGGTGGGGGAACGGGCCCCAGAGCAAGGAAGGAAGAAAGCAGATGCCCTAAGGCGGCATCTCAGTGACCGAGCTCTTTTGGCTGTGTGGCGCCCTTGGTCCTTGACTCTGCTCTTTTATGACGTGGTACCAGATTCTGGCCCCGAGGCCATGCCTGTGGGCACCTCCCCTTTGAGTCCGGGCCAGGGAGATATAGAGCTGAGGAGACATGATGACATTAGTGACACAGGGCACAGGAGCATGGTCCCTGGGTGTCCCAGAGTCCCCACAGTTTGCTGGTTTATCTGCAGGCCCACAAGGTTAGACTGTTGGGGTTACCACTTGGGAACTGCTACAGACTGAACATGTCCCCCCAAATTCACATGTTAAAGTCCTAACCCCCAACATGATGGTACTGGAGTCAGAGTAGGTCACGAAGGTGGCTTACTCGTGAATGGGATTAGTGCCCTTGTGAAAGAGAGTTTAGAGGGCTCTTCCACCACGTGAGGGTACAGCAAAAAGAAGCCTTCTCCCTGGACACCAAGTCTGCTGGTGCTTTGATCTTGAACTTCTCAGCCTCCAGAGCTGAGAGAAATACATTTCTGATGTTTTCTGTGCCAGCCAGTTTATGGTATTTTATTAAACAGCCCAACATACTTAAGAGGGGAACCGTGGTAGTTGGGTACAAATGATCCACCCATGACCCAAGGAAGCAGTGATTTGAAAGCCACAGATAACAACAGGGTGATAATCAGATGATCCATTCAGAATGATTTCACCTGCTGCTTCCTCCGGCCTCTGGGTCTCTCTGCCTCGCCCACTTGCTGCTGGCTTTACCCTGTGCTGTTGGTGCCTTCCCGTCACCAGGACGCAGAGTCCATCCATGTGGGGCCCTCTGAGGGCTCCCAAAGATACCGGACGCTCAGGGGAGGTTCCGATGCACAGAAGCCGTGGGGTCACCCATCTCCCCAGCTCCATCTGTCTGTCCTCCACCCCAACTCAGTTCCCATTGTCCTGACTGCTCAGAGCCACCCCTGCTCCCGCAGGATGTTTCTCTCCCACGCTTGCAACCCTGCCCTCACCCCACCTCTGTTCTCCAAACCCGGCCAACTCTGTGACTGATCCCAGGGGTCAGCCCACTTCGAACTTCCAAGTAGTTTTGACCTCCCTCTTCTATGAGCCCACCCGGTTCCTGCTGCTGTCCTGGCTCACACCACAGTACGAGGAAGCCAGGAGTGTCCGGCTTGTCAGATGTCACCCCAAACGTCCAGAGGGCCAGGGCTCTGGTTCTTGCATGTTTATAATCCCCCGCCAGCCAGCACAAGGCAGGCCCTTCACATGCTTGTTGAACTGACGTGACGATCTGAGCCAGGCACTGTGCTCCACGCTTTTGGTGAAATACGCCTTGACTCCTCACATGGGAGCCCTGAGGGAGAAGGGTTAGCTGTGCAGCTGGGGGTGGGGATTATGAGGCAGCTTCCTTGAGGAGACAGCTAAGCTGGGCCTGGAAGGCAGAAATGAAGCTGGCAGCATGGGGAAGGGGAGGGAGGTCTGTGCAGCAGGGATGAGCACGGCAGAGAGAGGCAGCAAGCTGGCTCAAGATACCCTTGGAGGCCCAGTCCAGTTGGCCCCACCAGGGCTGATGTGTGGGGAGTCCTGAGAGAGGCTGGCTGCAAAGGAGCCCAAAGGAGCAGCCCCCAAGCTGAAGGTGGCCTGTATGTTGGCTGCATCAGCTCTCCCGCGCTGCAGCCTGGGGCTCCAAGACACTGCTTCTCCTGGCCAGCCTTGCCCAGGTCCCCAGCTCCTCCAGCTCCTCCAGCTGCCCTGTGGGACGAGGAACTCTGCTGAACCCAAACAGATGACAGCAGCTCAGACGTCATCAGTCAAATGAATGGACTGTGGGGGCATCAGAAGAGAAAGCAGGCAGGCAAACCAATGAATAACGAGTACAGGTATAAAAAAACCCCATGAATCTAGATGAGGCCCCAGGGCCACGGAACCACCATGACCACTGTGTATAATAGGATAGGAGACATCTTTGTGGATAACTAACTCCGCGCCTACGGGCAGGCAGTTTCTCTGTGGT